ACATGTTGCCAGTAGGGACGGGTCCTTAGAGAGGGACATCATGCTTAGGAGGGTGGAGGGACAGCGGAGGAGGGGAAGGCCCTCTTTGAGATGGATTGATTCAGTGACTGGGGTAATCGGAATGGGTGTGTCAGAGGCGGTGCGGTTGGCACAGGATAGAGCAGGGTTTAGGGCTGTTGTGCATAGGGTCGCTATGAGTTGGAAACGACTCGATGGCACAGAACAACAACAACAACATGGAAAATCTGCTATGAGGGACCTCTCCAAAGTACTGAAGAACAATGGTGTCACTCTGGAGACTAAGGTGTGCCTGGTACAGGTTATGGTCTTTGCAATCACTTGCTATGTGTCAGAGAGCTGGACAATGACTGAGGAGGATAGAAGGGGAATTGATGCCTTTGAGCTGTAGTGTTGGAAATGAGTATTGAATATACTATGGACTGCTAATAAAATGAACAGATTTAACACTGATGAGGGTTAAACCCAGCTGCTCATTTGAGGCAAGGATTCTGAAGCTTCATCTGACATACTTTGGGCATGTTGCAAGGAGAGACCAATCCTTGGAGAAGGAAAGGACATCATGCTTGGGAGGGTGGTGGGACAGTGCAGGAGAGGAAGAGTCTCTATGAGGCAGATTGATTCATTGACTAGGGTGATAGGGGTAAGTGTGTTGGAGACAGTGATATTGGCACAGGATAGTGCAGGGTTTAGGGCTCTTGTATAAAGGATAGATATGAGTCGCAGGCGACTGACTCTATGGCACTTAACAACAACAATGGGAAGAATATTGAATGATCCAGGAAGCATTAAGAGAAGATGGAAAGAGTATATAAGGTCACTGTACCAAAAAGAATTGACTAACACAGAAGAATTTAAAGAAACAACATATGATCAAGAGGCAATGATGATGAAGGAGGAAGTGCAAGCTGCTCTGAAGAAATTAATGGATTACCAATTGACACAAGCCAACAAACAGATACTGCCTTAGACACCAGTTATGCCAAGGAATCTGGAGGACAACTACCTGGAAATATGGAAGAGATTCATATTTATTCCCATAAAAAAAATAAAAAGATGGCCTGATAGAGTGTGGAAATTATTGAATGTCACTGACATTACACCCAAACAAAATCCTATTAATCATTATCCAAAAATGACTGGAACAGTACATTGACAGAGAACTACCAGAAATACAAACTGGGTTTAGAAGAGGTTGTAGCACTAGAGACATTATCACCAATGTCAGAAGGATCTTGGCAGAAAGAAAAGAGCGCCAGAGGGATATCTATCGGTGTCTCATTGACTATGCAAAGACATTTGACTGTGTGGATCACAACAAATTGTGGTTAACCTTGAGGAAAATCGGAATCCTAGAACACTTGATTGTGCTTATGCAAAACCTATATTCAGACCAGGAAGCAGTCCTCAGAACAGAGGAAGGAAGTACTGTATGGTTCAAAATCAGGAAAGGAGTGCATCAGCGACACATCATATCTCCATACCTCTTCAACCAATATGTGGAACAGATCATTCTTGAGGCTGTGCTTTATGAGGAGGAATGTGGTGTGGTATCAGGATTGAAGGAAGACTTGTCAACAACCTGCAATATGCAGATGACACAACCTTGCTTGCTGCAACTGAGGAAGACCTGAAGCTTTTGCTGTAGAAGGTATTCTGCATTGTATTCTTTTTTTCGCATTGTATTCTTCAATATGAATTGAAGCTCTCAACATCAAGAAGACAAAGATTCTCACTACTGGGCCAATTAGCAGCACCATGGTAAATGAAGAAGAGATTGAAGTTAACAATTTCAGCTCACTCGACTCCACAATCAACACTCTTGGTCAGCAGTCAGGAAATCAAAAGATGAATTGCACTGGAAAAATCTGTGGTCAGGGACCTCTTCAGAGTACTGAGAAGCAAAGATGTTGTGCATAGTTGCTATGAGTTGCAGATGGCTTAACAGGCATATAACAACAGCAACAACAATATTGATGTAAAAAGTAGAAACAATTTATGCTTATATATACTTGACTAGTTACCATGTTCACCCCACACTTACATTTATTCACAATATCGTCTTCATCTCTTAGAAATCCATCTTTACTTCCTACAGATTCAAATCTCATAAAGAAAGCATAATCTTGCCTATGAGAGTGATCCCCATCCTTTGTGCTATCCGGGATAATTCTGTGGAAATTCACAATCAGTTATATTTTTTTTGCAAAGATGGTATATTTTATCACTTGCTAAAAGATCTTTAAATCTATGTAAGCAGAGGGAAGTTAATGAATTAATAATGCAACCATTATTTATTTCCCAAAATCACTGCACAGATGGAGAGAATTGCCAAAAGAAAACAGAGAAATAAAGTTTAAAAAAAACCAGCTCACGCCAACATTTACAAGCACGAGTTTAAGTATGCTACTTCATCAATTCATTCTCTATAGGGAGCTCTGGTGGCTGAGTGGTAAGATGTTGTGCTGCCGAACCAAAGGCAAGCTGTTGGAATCCACCAGCTGCTCCACAGGAGAAATATGGGCAATCTCGTCTCTTATGATTACAGTCTTTAAAAACTCACAGCAGGATCAGTTATGAATCAGTTCCATCTCGAGGACATCTAACAACACTACCAACAACAATTCATTAAGGTAAAATGCAAATATCACTTCCTCTGTGAAATAATTGTTTACCAGACACAGTTTATTGCTGTTCTGTAGACTCTCTTCGAATACCTAGCGTAGTCCTTTTAATTTTGGCCCAATAAAATACTTCTGTTACATTTCTCTTCCTCAGAGGGCTAAGAATATATTACCAGCTGTTTTATGATACTCATATCTTTTAAGAGGAGGAAAGGATGTAAAGATTAAACATAAAATTTAAAAGTTGATGGATTACATCTCAGGCCTGCTCATCAGTTAAATTTATTTTACCTCTTTTACCTAGATGTCAGTTTTCCTTTACAGTGGCTACTTAAATAACTTAGCAAAAGACTGATGTGATATTAAAACTGATAGAAAACATCATACTCAAAAAAGATACATTTAAAAATATTTTAAGTTGTACTTAATTTCTTAGTGTCTTTGCTAGATTCTCACTGTGCTATCGTGGAAAAAAAGGAATTATTAAACAGTCTTATAAGCTCACAGAAATCTACTTAATATAATCTGAGTATATAAGAAGTGTAATACATCTTGAAATATGGCTTGTACATATATTTCATTAATAATACATTTCTAAAAGGAACCAAAAATGTTTGATTTATTACTCTTCTTAAATAGACACAACTCTTGTCCTCAACATGAAAATGATAGCACCAAGTGGCACAGTAGAGACAGTTTTCTCTCAATCCATTACTAGGAATATATTCCAAGGAAATTAGAACTGAGACACAAATGGAGACGTGTACATCAATGTTCATAGAAACATTATTTACCATTGCAAGAACATGGAAACAGCCCAAAAGCTCAAACACAACTGAAATGGTGGCACACAACAGAATACTATGCAGCACTCAGGAGCAGTGATTTTTTAAAAATACTACATAACAGGAATAGATGGTATACCAATTGACATATTTCAGCTAACAGATGCTGCCTTGGACATGCTCACCAAGTTGTGCCAAAAAAATCTGGAGAACAACCACCTGGTTAACTGACTGGAAGAGATCTATATTTGTTCCCGTCCCAAAGAAGGGCGACCCAACAGAGTGTGGAAACTATAGAACAATCTCATTGATTTCACATGCAAGCAAAATTCAACTGAAGATTATCCAAAAATGACTGGAACAGCACATCAGCAGAGAACTGCCAGAAGTCCAGGCTGAGTTTAGGAGGGGGCGTGGTACTGGGGATATTGTAGCTAATGTTAGATGGATCTTAGCTGAAAGCAAGGAGTACCAGAGGAATGTCTGTTTGTGTTTCATTGACTATGTAAAGGCGTTTGACTGTGTCAACTGTGGCTGACTCTAAGAAGAATGGGAATACCCAAACACTTGATCGTGCTAATGAGAAACCTATACTTGGACCAAGAGGTAGTCGTCAGAATAGAGCAAGGAAACACTGCATGGTTTAAAATTGGGAAGGGCATACACCAGAGATGTGTCCTGTCTCCATACCCTTTTAACCTGTATGCAGAACAGATTATCTGGGAGGCTGGGCTCTATGAGGAGAAATGTGAGGTCAAGATGGGTGGAAGATCTATCAACAATCTGTGATATGCAGATGATACAACTCTACTTGCTGAAACTGAGGAGGACCTGAAGTGCTTGCTGCAGAGGGTCAAGGACTGCAGCCTACAATATGGATTGAGCCTCAGTGTCAAGAAGACAAAGATTCTCACCACTGGGCCAACTGGCAGCAACAGGATGGATGGTGAAGAGATTGAGATTGTTCACAGCTTCATTTTGCTTGGCTCCACAGTCAACACTCTCGGCAGCAGCAGCCAGGAAATTAGAAGATGTATTGCAATGGTTAAGTCTGCTGTTAGGGACCTCTCCAAAGTACTGAAGAGCAATGGTGTCTCTTTGGAGATTAAGGTGCTCTTATACAGGCTATGGTCTTTGCTATCACTTGTGCATCAGAGAGCTGGACAATGACTAAGGAGGATAGAAGGAGAAATGATGCCTTTGAGCTGTGGTGCTGGAGAAGAGTATTGAGGGTACCATGGACTGCTAGGAAAACAAACAGATTCACCCTGGAAAGGGTCAAACCATGCTGCTCCTTGGAGGCAAGGATTCTAAGGCTCCGTCTAACATACTTTGGACATGTTGCAAGGAGGGACAGGTCCTTGGAGAGGGACATCATGCTTGGTAGGGTGCAGGTACAGCGTAGAAGGGGAAGGCCCCCTATGAGGTGGACTGATTCAGTGACTGGGGTAATTAGGATGGGTGTTTCGGAGACGGTGCGATTGGCACAGGACAGAGCAGAGTTTAGGGATGTTGTACTTAGGGTCGCTATGAGTCGCAAGCAACTCAATGGCACATAACAACACCACCACCACATAACTTGGGAGAGATTGGAGAGGATTTTGTAAAAATAGAAGGCTAACCAGTAAAACATGTATGGGCATGCACAGGGGGAAGGGGTGGGAGAAGAAGGGTGAAACTACAAGGTTGTACAGTTTGGTGGATGGAGGGATGGGGTGAAGAAAATGAGAAGGATGCAGGTGAAAAGACAAGGTAATGGTCGGCAAGGTCCAATGATGATTAATTTTATATATCAATGCATGAGAATGATTGTATGAAACACAAAATGAATGAGTAATAGTGTAAAACATAAGTATACAAACTTTGTAATCAAACCAATAAAAACATTTTTTAAAAACTCAACAATGGTCATTAGAGTCACATTAGCTATTCTACAAACACTACGAGAAATTATATTCTTTTCTACAGATGAGCAAAATTATACCTATTTATGAAAAAAAAACCCAACATAAACACTTTAAACCCTTAAAAAATAAACAAACTCACAACTGGAACAATTGATGACACTGTCAAAAACTTCTGGCAATCACAACTTCTAGTACACATTTAAAAGAGTATTTCTCCAAATACATTTTTTTCAAGCTAAGGAACACAACTTAGTATACAAAATATGTCAATTGTGAATATGTTTGCATAAGTCCTGGTTGATTCCAGCAGCTGACAATCAATGAGCATTCCTGTACCTCTTTGGAGGCATCTGGAATGTAGAGCCATGCCACTGACTATTTTCTGATCATCCCTGCAGAAAGGACCAGGTCTTGCCTGCACAAATTGTTTTTTTTTTGCCGCAGTTCAAATTTCCATTTTCACCACCTGAGTTCCACATAGTCTGGAAAGATGTTTTTTAATTTACCAGGAAATATTTAGGCTCATTTAGAAATATTATAACTAATATTAACAATATTAGAAATAGCGAGAGTTAAAACAAGAATATTTATGCCCTGTGACCAGTTTTATTCACATAGAATTAAAATTAATTTAACAAATGTGTAATGTAGATAATTTAGATTAATAGTTAAGATTAAAGTAAAATTATTTTCTGCTTACTTTGGGGTAAAGCAAAATGTAATTTTGATCTTTTGATAAGGTAATAAAGTTCCATCATTAGGCATACATGACATAAAAGAAGTGACATCCATGTTCTTTATTTTGTTTAGGTGGCTCAAGTTGTTTAAAGCAATGTCTGTTCTTTGTTGAATATTTGTACCCTGTAATATAAAACTGGAGGTGAATAAAGATCAATACAAAATACCAATATCATATTTTAAGACACAAAACTTAAAGAGCTCTAAGTCCTTGCCAATGAGTCAGAACCAACTCCATCACTGACCCACCACTGGGTTTCTGAGATTGTAAACCATAGGAAAAGAGATTACTCATCTTTCTCCTGAGGAGCCTCTGGACTACATCAACAGAGCTTTTAGAATAATTACTGAAATTTTAGAATTTATAAAATCTTTAGATCTTTAAAATAACACATATCAATATGACTAGAGCATTTAATCAAATTTAAAAATTAAAGAATTTTTTTGAAAACACGAATGAGAAATAGAAATCTGCATTAGCCACTGATTTATAAGAAGTATTTATCTGGTTTACTTAAGATATATATTATTATCAGTGTTAGTTTAATTGACTAGAGTATTTAGGCCACTTGTGAGAGATATATAAAATAAATCTGTCTCCTTTAAAATACATTTAGAATAATTAAATAACTTGCTGTTTATTGTTATTGTTCCTAGACACTGTCAAGTCAGAACCAACTGATCCTCCAGCAAGTTTTCAGCAACAGTAAACTGCATGGGAGGAGATTTCACATCTATCTACCTTAGAGAAGCTAGGTGATTCAAACCTATCTTTGGATTGACAGCATAATTCCTTACCACTGCGTCAAGAAAGCTCCCTTTGTTGGTTATTAATATGCTTAAAACATGCATCAAACCATAAAAATCCAATTTTCTCCTCTTGTACCCACCATTTCTTCTCCAACAGCTTCATCTTGCATTATGGCCACCCAATTTATTGATGCTGGGCTATTATTATACAGGAGCGCATGCTCAATTTTTGATGTCCCGAAGAAGGTGGAACCAAAATTGATGCAGTCTATTTTTCTTTCACCACTTATGTGTAACAGTTCAATAATCTGTGCAACCACATCAACTTTGATATGCAAGAGTGCATCCTGACGACCTTCCAAACTCACTCTGCAAGATAATGAAATAGGTGTTAATATATATACAAAAAATAAATTTTCATTATAAGTCTATATAATTTCTCTTTCTGCTAACACCTGGATAGACAAAAAGAGTATTTTTCTTTTACTTTTGAAAGAGAAGAGTGAACTGGTGGTTGCGGGGGTGGGCAGGGAGAAAAGTGCAACAACGAATGAATGGAAATCCAAAATCTCTGTAAATGTTCATTAAAATTAATAATTAAAAATACCCAACAACACACACATACACACACACACAAACACCTTAACTTTACAATACTACACTACTATGCTCTCAGGCCTATCTCGCCCTTTTTCTACTCTGTTCTGTACCACATGAAACTATTTCATGAAAGATAAAAGAGATAAAGTAGACTTTAAGAAAATAAAATCCTTAGGTGTATTTAAAAAAATCCTATAAAGCCACTGCCAAGTTAGTTCTGACTCATATTGACCTTCCATCAGGTTTCCAGGCTCTAAGTCTTCACTAGAAAAGATGGCCCAAATTTCTCCAGTGGAACTAAGTGGTGGATTCTAATTGTCAGCTAGCAGTACAACATATAATATCCATTACTGAAAACCAAAGAATGCCAGAACGTGTATAAAACAGAAACATATCAATACAAGAAACTCAAATACTTTCTACTAATTATCTCATTGCCATTGAGGCAAAACTGACTCAAAGCTGATCCTTCAGCAACTTTTCAAAGGCTGTAAAGCATACAGAAGGAGACTGTAGATTCAAACCATTTCGCTTTGGGTTGTCAGGGCAACTTCCAATCCATATTAGAGAGCAATTTAAAAAAATGGTAAGACTATATCCTGTCATTACCCAGCTCTCAGCAGAACAGAAAATGATTGAAAAGACCATGGCCTGAATCAGGCATACCTTAGTCCTCAAACTAACATCATTGCTTGTCAATAATTTGGGTAAGTCCCTGACTGCAGAATTTCCCAGTGAAACACGTCTTCTGATTATCCGACTGTTGGTATCAAGTGTATTGACCTGTGGATCTAAGTAAGACAAAGCCATTGACAGTCTGTCTTTATCTCTCATATTGTCTATAGATGCAGTGGTGAGAATTTTTGTTTTCTTGACATCGAGCTGCAATCGATATTGAAAGTTGCAGTGTTTGATCTTCTGTAGCAACTGCTGAAAGTTCTCCCTTTCAACAAGCCAGATTGTGCATCAGAATAACAAAGGCTATTGATGAGTCTTCCTCCAATCTGATGCCACATTCTCCTTCATAGACTGCAGCTTCTCAAATAATTTGCTCAGCATACAGATTAAATAGGTATAGAAAGAGAATACAACCCTGCCACCTACCTTTCTTAATTTTAAACCACAACAAAGTAGTGTTCCCTAGCTGGGAACAATGAATAAGGATGACAGAAAACTAACTGATGCCTTTGAACTGTGGTGGTGGAGAAGAGTGCTGAATATCCATGGACTGCCAAAAGAACAAACAGATCTGTCTTGAAGAAGTTTCAACCAGCATGCTCCTTGGAGGCAAAGATGATGAATCTTCATCTCACATACTTTGAGCATGTTGCTAGGAGAGATTATTCCTTGGATAGAGACATCATGGTAAGGAAAGTGGAGGGACGGTGGAGGAGAGGAAAACCCTAAAGCAGGTGGGTTGACATGACGACTGCAGCAATGAGCTTGAATGTGTCAGAAATTGTTAGGATGGCACAGGATAGCTGTTGTTCACAGGGTAACAATGAGTAATATTTGATTCAACAGTGCCTAACAACAACAACAACCGGTCCTACCAGCTTCATCTGACATATTTGAGATATATTGTTACAAGGCCAAGTCCTTGGAAAAAGGACATTAGCTTGGAAAGACGGAGGGTCAGCATAAGAGAGGAAGATCTTCCTCAAGATGGATTGACACAGTGACTATGTTAATGGATTCAAGTATATCAGGGATAGTGAAGATGGCACAGGACAGAACAAGGTTTAGATCCATTCTACACAGGATCACTATAAGTACTTTTTGTCAAAGATACATTACAACAACAACAACCAGTTCTACCAAGATTCTTGAAAGATAAAGTCTAATGTATCAAAAGTGAACAAGTTATTTTACCACAGAGTTTTACCTCTTTTCTTCATTATAACTGATCAGCTAATTTAATGAAGTCCAAGCTGAAGCTGAGGAAAATTATACTGAATCCACGGGAACCAAAATATGACTTTGAGTTCATCCCATCTGAATTTCAGAACCATCTCAGAAACAAGTTTGAGGTCTTGAACACTAATGAGTGAAGACCTAATGAGTTGTGGGAGGATGTCAAATGTATAATGCAGGAGTGCAAATGGTCATTACAAAGACAGAAGAGAAAAAAAGACCAAAATGATGTCAGAGGAAACTCTGAGGATTGCATTGGAGTGCAGAGAAACCAAAGCACGAGGAAGAATTCAAGATACTAAAGAGTTGAATAGAAGATTCCAAAAGGCAGCATGGGATGATAAAGCAAAATATTACAACAAAATGTGCAAGGAGCTGGAGTCAGAAAATCAAAAGGTCTGAACTCGTTCAGCATTTCTTAAGCTCAAGGAATGGAAGAACAAATTCAAACCTCGAGTTGGTATAATCAAGGATGCTTTGGGCAGAATATTAAATGATCCAGGAAGTATTAAAAGAAGATGGAAAGAATATACTGAGTCACTGTATTAAAAGGAATTGGCAGATACAGGAGAATTTCATTAAATAACATATAAGCAAGAGCCTATGGTGAAGGAAGAAGTTCAAGCAGCTTTGAAGGAAATAGTAAAAAATAAGGCCCCAGCAATAGATGGTATACCAGTTGACATATTTCAGCTCACAGATGCTGCCTGGGACAATGCTCACTAAGTTGTGCCAAGAAATCTGGAGAACAATCACTTGACCAACTGACTGTAAGAGATCTATATTTGTTCCTATTCCAAAGAAGGGTGACCCAACAGAGTGTGGAAACTATAGAACAATATCATCTATTTCATATGCAAGCAAGATTCTACTGAAAGTTAACCAAAAACAACTGGAATAGCACATCAGCAGAGAACTGCCAGAAGTCCAGGCTGGGTATAGAAGGGGTCGTGGTACTAGGGATATTGTAGCTGATGTTAGATGGATCTTAACTGAAAGCAGGGAATACCAGAAGAATATCTATCTGTGCTTCATTGCTTATGCAAAGGTATATGACTGTGTGGATCATAACAAACTGTGGCTGACTCTGAGAAGAACGGGAATACCAGAACACTTGACCTTGCTAATGTAAAACCTATACTTGGACCAAGAGGCAGTCGTCAGGACAGAGCAGGGAAACACTGCATGGTTCAAAATTGGGAAAGGCATACGCCAGGGATGTGTCCTATCTCCATACCTTTTCAACCTTTATGCAGAACAGATTATTCGAGAGGCAGGGCTCTATGAGGAGAAGTGTGGCATCAGGATTGGTGGAAGATCTATTAACAAACTTTGTATGCAGATAACACAACCCTGCTTGCTGAAACTGAGGAGGACATGAAGTGCTTGTTGTTGAGGGTCAAGGACTGCAGCCTTCAAAATGGATTGAGGCTCAATGTCCAGAAAACGAAGATTCTCACCACTGGACCAATTGGCAACATCAGGATGGGTGGTGAAGAGATTGAGATTGTTAGCAACTTCAGTCTGCTTGGCTCCACGGTCAACACTCTTGGCACCAGTAGCCAGGAAATAAAAAAAAATGAATTGCTATGGGAAAGTCTGCTGTTAGGGACCTCTCCAGGGTAAAGAAGAGCAATGGTGTCACTCTGGAGACTAAGGTGTGTCTGATACAGGCTATGGTCTTTGCAATCACTTGTTATGCATCAATGTTGGACAATGACTAGGAAGGATAGAGGGAGAACTGATGCCTTTGAGCTGTGGTGCTGAAGAAGAGTAGTGAATGTACCATAGACTGCCAAGAAAACAGATTCACCCTGGAGAGGGTTAAACCAGGCTGCTCCTTGGAGTCAAGGATTCTGGGGCTTCATCTGACACACTTTGGACATGTTGTAAGGACAGACCGGTCCTTAGAGTGGGACGTCATGCTTGGGAGGGTGGAGGGATGGCGCAAGAGGGGAAGACCCTCTATGAGGTGGATTGATTCAGTGACTGGGGTAATCAGGATGGGTGTTATCAGAGGCAGTGCGATTGGCATAGTATAGAGGGGCTATTGTACATAAGGTCACTCTGAGTCTCAGGCAACTCGATGGCACATAACAGCAACAACAACCTGTATTACACTTATTCAATTTCTTCATTTTTATCCACTCTCTCAACTTTTCCCTTAATTCAGGTTTTAACATTCTCTATTTCTTCTAACTATTATTTTCATGGTTTACTAGAACAGCTTCTGGTCAGGTTTATCACCCAGTACTTATAGTTTCTGATACATACTGTACATTATCATTAGTATGAACTTTTCTCTTTATTAAAAGAATTTTTTTATAAATAAGTTTTGTTTTATTCATTTAGTTTTCCACATTTTCCTCCTTCTCCCAGTGCACTTTGCAATGTACTGCTTGTTCTAGATTTCTGCTGTATATATAATGTTTAATCATGTATTCCTTTTGGACTATTCTTCGTTTCATCTCTTCCAATGAAGTGTTCATTACATATCGAAATTTTTCCTATTCTCCCCCCAAGTCCCCACAACAGTTGTGCTCATTAACAGTAGTGCTATGCAATATTTGTCCTTTCAGGACTGAAATATTTTTTTCTCAGCATAATGTCCTCCAGGCTCACCCATGATGTTTAAGTTTTACAAATTCATTGCTTTTCAACACTGTGTAATGTTCCATTGTGTGAATGCACCACAGTTTTTCTATCCATTTGTTCTTTGATGGGCACTTGGATTGCTTCCATATCTTTGCTACTGTGAATAACACAGCAATATTCTTTCTAAAATACAAGCTAATCAAAACACTTTCATCTTAAAATCTTCCTAAGACATTGTCTGTTGTCTTCACAATAAAGCCTAAACTACTAGTAGTGCTCACAATTGTTTTACCAACATTATGTGTTACCGAAACAGAACTCTAGTCATTAATATTCACCTACTCCTATATATGTATGTAGACATACATACACCGTTACCACCACCACCATCACTCTACTTTGCCTAAATAATCTTTCTTCCCAAGAAGAGTTTGGTTCAACTGTTATTTCCTTTTTGTTGTTGTTGTTGTATACTATAGAGGAAGAACTGACCTATAGCTAGTCTATAATGGGTTTTCAGAAGCAGATAATCACACAGGAGGAGACTGTCCTTCCTTCTCCCGTGAAGCTGCTGGTGGCCTCAATCACATGCTTTCAGGAGTGCAGTGCAGCTTCAATTATTTCCTTAGTGGAGCTTTTACCGAGTATACTCCCTCCCTCCTCAAAATTCCAAACTGTTGTTGTTGGTGGTGGTGGTGGTTGTCTGTTTTTGTTAGGTGTCATTAAATCAGCTCCGACTTACAGTGATCCTATGTACAATAGAACAAAAACCTGCCTTATCCTCACAATCTGTAATGTGCTTAAGTCCATTGTTACAAGCACTGCATCAATTCCAAACTAGAAGCCCTCTTATGTGGACCTGTATGTCGCCTTCTACTACTTATCATTTTTGATTCCCTAGTGCTTGGTCAGTAGTAGAGATTGAAAAGAGCAATGCTGAGCAAAAGATCAAAAGGTCTAACATACAGTCAAAGACAAAAGGCACATTTGAAGAATGAATGACAAAGAATTAGAAAACATAATGTACAGTACACACTCACCTTACCACCTCGTCCACAGTTCTTGGGTGGTCAGCACAGAAATCTACTTTAACAACTTCTGAAGATAGAGCTTTCACAGTACCGCTCCTCGGGAAAATAACAATGGGTAATTCACCATCATACACTATGTGAAACACACCTAATGGGAAATAGAGCACATGATTTACAATTAGGTCCTTACCATGTTGCATTCACATCCTCAGCAGGTTACTAGAATAATGTGAGTCAAGAATTCCAGCTCTGATAGTTAGTGAGTTCAACATCTCTGATAGTGAGTCCAACAGCTAACTTATCCTAAAAGCTTTTCATATCTAATTCTAATTAATTCTCATAATGACTATGTAGGTTTTATAATTTATTTCAATTTAATAAAATTCAAAATCGAGAAAGCTTGAGTGACTATATATGTGTGTGTGTGTATATATAGATAGAGATATAGATAGAGATTTAGAGATCTAGAGATATAGATATAGAGATATAGATATATAGATATATACTATCAAGTTCCTGGAAGCAGGAGCGGCATCCACTTCCAAAATGGCTTGCTTCCGGAAACTCTATGTATGAACAGTGCTCAGGTCGTTCGTTCATAGGGTGGTCTATGACTCCACGGCACCAAACAACAACATCAAGTTCCAACCCTTTTTCCAATGGCTATGCTTGGGCTCAAGGATCCCTTAACACAAACCTTTGTGTTTATTTATTTAGTTTTTTAATCTAGATTGCTCTGCCTTCTCTAGAGAAACAGATTTGATACAAAGAAGGAAAATATACATTGCTGTACAATCTTCATACTTAATTGTGGATCACAGTAAGGTAGTGTCATGGGTCTATCTCTGGATGCCTCTAAGGACTGTGTCACTTTCAAGATGCTGTCCTGCCTCTTATTTTTAAAGAAATCAGCAAGCATCTGAGTCAGACTGTGTTCTCCAGGAGCATAATGAGTCAAGTTCATTTTTCCTGAAATGCTGTCCTTTTTATTATAATCAGAACATTCATAGGCCTTGAGTTTTAGCTACATCACAGAAGCTACTAATCACAAACAAATTTAACTAATACTTTCTTTAAAAAGTAAAAGCTAATGTATTTTGTCCTGTTGTTCTTAGGTACCACTGAGGCTCAGACTCACAGGGACCCTATGAAGAACAGAGCAAAAACCTATCCCATTTTGTTAAATCCTCACAATCATGGCCTTGCTCATCTCAGTGAAGGCCACCCTCTCTTTTTCTTATTAATTAATGCATAGGACAGAAACTATTTACCTGGAGCTTTTCCATGGTTCATGACAGTAATCTCTTTACAATGCACTTTACTATTGGCAACCAGTGTGCCAAAATTAACTTCTGGCCCAATATCCAAGTTACAACGTGGAGCCAGCCTGGGTGGGAGGAAAACAGGGCATTTAGTTTATGTCTAATGATCAGAGCATAATAGTTAAGTCTATACAACTTGCTATTAAGTGGTTCCAATGCACATGGGGAAAAAATATTGGCAATGCCTGAAAATTCTATCATAAGTACTTAAAAAAACCATTCTGATATCATGACACCAATAACACATTTATCAAGAGAACAATGAAATAATCATACAAAAACAAAATATTTCTTACCTATGAGTTTTTATGCATCTAACTGCAAGATATGCCCTTCCAAATACTCACCTTGAAAGCAAATCCGTTTATTTCAGTGATATTTTCATTGCTCAATATCTGATTAGAACTCTTTTTAGAATCTCTACATAAGCCTATGCCTTTGAGCTGTGGTGTTGGAGAAGAATATTGAATATACCATGGACTGCTAAGAAAATAAACAGGTTTGTCCTAGAGAGGGTGAAGCCAGGCTTCTCCTTAGAAGCAAAGATTCTGAAGCTTTGTCTGACATATTTTGGACATGTTGCTAGGAGAGACCAGTCCATGGAGAGGGACAGCCCAAGAGAGGAAGACCCTCTAGGAGGTGGATTGATTCAATGACTGTGGTAATGCAGATAGGTCTCTCAGAGAGTGAGATTGGCACAGGATAGGGCAGAGTTTAGGGCTGTTGTACATAGGATCACTGTGAGTTGCAGGCTACTAGCACATAACAATAACAACATAAGCCTATGTTTATATTTATTTGATCGGTCCTGAAAAAGGAAGATCTTAGCAAAGGGAGTTCTGATATTCTACTGGAAAAGGCATTGCACTGCCAACTGAAAGACAATCCAGCACTAGCTATAAGAAGAGAAAGATGAACAATCTCCTCCCATGCAATTTACAGCCTCTGAAAACCTGCTAGAGGGTCAGCTACAAATAATTATGTTCTGACACAATGGCAATCAGTTGGATCTTGTTGAACTAAACAAATCAGTTTATATGATGCCAAGTCTGATGATATAAAATAAGTGATGCTGTAAAATATCATTTAGTGTATAAAATAAGACACAAAGTATAAAACAATAGTTTGATTTTTCATAGGCATTACTTTAAAATATACTGTGGTATATTTGCAGTATATATTCATATATTTTAAAAATTCATTATCATATGAAAAATAATATAAATGAGGAAATGTGTGAAATATGATGCATACAAATGAAACAATGTATAAGAATAATTTAACAAAGGAAGAAAAAGGAATTTGGTATGTAAACCATATAAAATAAATTTTAAAAGATTCGTCATCATTCTGTGTATGTATCTTATGGGGATGCCTACATTTTATATTCATATAGTAATTTATAAGATACAAAGCACTCTTTTGTATGTTACTATGGTTGGTGTTCAAGAAACTCCTGAAAGGTAGATAAATAACATGGTACCCATAATCAAATAGTCTGCAGTTCAAACTCACTAGTTGCTCCATGAGAGAAAGATATGGCAGTTGACTTTCATAAAAACATGGAAACCCTATGGGCCAGTTTGACTCTCTCCTATAAGGTTATTCTAACTCAGAATGGTTTCTTTTGTGTTATTTAAATTAGTTTACTGTTACAGATGAAAAGTATAAAATTCAGAGAGATTAAATTATTTATAGAATTATGTGAATACCATTTTGGAGATCTTAGCTTAGAATTAATTTTGCTAGACTTCATGTATATTTTAATTTCTACATTTAAGAATGCTAATATCAACAAATTCAACAAAATCATTGCTATCAAGTCATGACCAAATCATGACCCTCCATTGGTTTTCTAAGGCTGTAAATCAAACAGGAGGAAATAGCCCATCTTTCTTCCTGAGAGTCTTTGGTGTATCCAAAACACTAGGAACTTTAGGTGAGCAGTGCTACTGCCTAGGGACTTCTTGTTGTTGTTGTTGTTATGTGCCATCAAGTCATTTGCGACTCATAGCGACCCTATGTACAAGAGCCCTAAATGCCGTTCTATCCTGTCTCAACCTTTCAGTCTCAAACACATTCATTCCCACCACTCCACTCACAGAATCGATCCATCTCATCGAGGGTCTTCCTCTCCTGTGCCATCCCTTCACTCTCCCAAATATGATGTCCCTCTCCAAGGACCAGTCCCTTCTTGCAACATGGCCAAAGTATGTCAGATGAAGCTTCAGAATCCTTGACTCCAGGGAACATTCTGGCTTCACCCTCTCCAGGACAAATCTGTTTATTCTAGCAGTCCATGGTATATTCAACACTCTTGTCCAGCACCACAACTCAAAGGCATCAATTCTCTTTCTATCATCCGTAGTCACTGTCCAACCCTCTGATGCATAGTACGTAATTGCAAAGACCATAGCCTGGATCAGACGCACCTTAGTCTCCAGCCTGACGTTGTTGCACTTCAGTACTCTTGAGAGGTCCCTCACAGCGGACTTTCCCAATGCAATTCGTCTCCTGATTTCCTGGCTGCTGTTACCAAGAGTGTTGACTGTGGAGCCAAGTAAACTAAAACTGTTAACTATCTCAATCTCTTCACCATCCAAACTGATGCTGGCAATTGGCCCAATGGTGAGAATCTTTGTTTTCTTGATATTGAGCTTCAATCCATGTTGAAGACTGCAGTCCTTGACCTTCTGCAGCAAGTGCTTCAGGTCTTCCTCAAGTTTCAGCAAGCAGGATTGTGTCATTTTCACAACGCAGGTTGTTGACGATTCTTCCACCAATCCTGATGCCACATTCCTCCTCACACAGCCCAGCATCTCGGATGATCTGTTCTGCATACAGATTAAAAAGGTATGGAGACAAGATACATCCCTGACAGACCCCTTGCTCTGTTCTGATGACTGTCTCTTGGTCCAAGTATAGGTTTCGCATTAGCACAATTAAATGTTCTGGGATCCCACTCTTCTCAGAGTCAGCCATAGCTTGTTGTAATCCACACAGTCAAAAGCCTTTGCATAGTCCATGAAGCACAGATAGACATTCTTCTGTTATGCTCTGCTTTCTGCCAAGATCCATCTTACATTAGCTATACCATCAAAGCCTGTATAGAACATATTGTTGTTTGCCATGGAGTTGGAATCAACCCATAGCTGACCCTCCAATAGGTTTTCAGAGGCAGTAAATTGCAGGGAAAGAAACTGCCCATCTTTCTCCCTTGGAGCAGCTGATGGATTTGGACTGCATATCTTTGCATTTGTAGCACAATTCCTTACCACTTAGCCACCAGAGATTTCATTACAAATAAGTTTTCTGGATCTCAAAGAGGAACTCATTACATCCACAATAGAAGATGTGTGGTTAAGCATTTTTTTTTATAGTTTATTTTGGCTAACATTAAAAATTCCTAAACATTGTGTTCTACTTATGTCTATTGTGTTTTACACATTTTTTGTTCACATTGTGTTTCATATGATCGTGCATATACACTATGTTTTATAAAATTAATCACTATTGATCTATGCCTATCTTGTTTTCTGGTCCCCATTGGATCTTTGCTAAATCCCTCACATATCCTCCTATCTGTCCACCAAACTCTGTTATCTTAGTGATTTCCCCCCTCCTCATTTTCCACCCTCTTTCCTCCCTCCTCTTTCCTTTTTTGACTTTTATACACACCTTACTAATTATCCTTCTTTTTTAACAATAATATTCTTAGATAGTATTTATCCTTATATGGGTGTGTCTAGAAAGTGTTAGGCTGACTGAACTAACTCAATCTCATAAAGCCATGTTCTGCCTCGGACCATTATTGTAAAAATAGAAGTCAAGCCTTTTGGCAAAATATTTTCCTTAATGAAAATAGAAAAGTATCTTAAGACCCATTTCTTAAGAATTTTCTCACAGATAATATGGTCTTCCTCAGTCCATTTGGTAACATTTATTAATAACTATTCCTCTGCTTTCCTACCAGTTTCTTTTCAACTTGTATTAAAACCAAATAAAAAACCTGATCCAGCTCCCATCACAGCACAATAAGATATCTGTTATCTCTGGACAATAAAGTATATAACCAGCCATGAAGGTAAGATCTCAAATGTTCTCTGCCTGAGGAGAGGCCTACTGGGTCCTGGCTAAGGCCCGTGGTTGAAGGAATCTCTCAAGAAGAAAAGAATAGTAAACACTCCAATATCAAGTATCTGTGACCTTTAAACTCACTGTTAACTTTACAGGTTAAAAAGATCTTCCAAAGGTAAATCTTCCAGTCGTGTGCTTTCATAAGAGCCTGCAGATTCTTTTTTTCCCCTCACCCAATTCTTATTCACAATTCTTTTTCTGTCACTTCTTAAAACAGAAGGATAGCTAGATCCTACCTTTTATTATTCTATTCTGACACATTGTTTGAGGCAAAATATCTCTGGGGGAACAAACAAGAGATTTGATAGAAAAAAAACCCCAATGTTGTTGAAAAGAGAAAGACTAAATAAATCCATTTAATTTAGGTAGCCTAGAATTTTTTTCCTTAATTTGAAAGAGGAAGATATAGTGACTCATGAAAGCCCAAACTCAATTAAACTGCTTTCTTTTTCAGCGTTTTTAAAGTTTTCTGATTTTGATAGAGTTTTATCTTACCACTTTTTAATTGCTCATTTTAGTGGAAAATGTTTTAATTTTCATTCTCTGACAGGTGCTCCCTTGCAAAGGTTCTAATTTTTTACTAATTTACTGTATAGATAGCTGAAAATTATTTAAAATAATGCTTGATAGGCAATCACATAAACAATTAAGAAAGATTCAAAGTTAATGATATAATTCACACCTCCATCAAATAGAAAAAAGAACAATTCAATCCCACAGCCTCTAGGAGAAAGGAAATGCTAAGAACAAGCGCTGAAATCAACAAGATAGAAAACAGCAAACCATCAACAAAATCAGGAGCTAGTTTTTTGAAAGGATCAATATAATTGTCAAAACATTGGCAAACTTAACAAAGGATAAAAAGGTAATGGTAAATTAATAATGATAGAAATTAATGATAGAAGTGACATCCCAACAGGTCCAGAGA